CGCAGTGTTCCTTCACGTGGGCGGGTTCTGCTTCTGCGTGCGCCTTCCACTAACGGGACATCACGGCGTTCGTTTTATTCTATTAACGGAAACGCTGCAATCGATAATCTCCTACTCGTACCCACTTTCTCAGGTGTGTGTCTATGCCTTTGGGATAAATTCCTGAAAGTTAAGTAGCTGGGTCACGTGTTCAATTTCTTTCTTATTGAGGCATAACAACTTGACATATAACAGCTTATTAGTTTCAGGTGTGTAACGTCACGATTGGATATTTGTATATGTTGCAAAATGATCGCCTTGGTAAAACTAGGAACATCATCGTCCATAGTTACAATTTTTTTTTTCTCGTTTTGAGGGCTTCAAGATCTATTCTCTCGGCAACTTTCTAATATGCAACGCGGTATTGTTAACTATAATCACCTTGTTGTACATTACATCCCCAGGATTTACTTATTTTATAACTGGAAGTTTTTACCTTTATAAAAAAACCTTTAATGTTTATTTTATGTTATTTTTAAAAAAACGTTTAATGGTTACTTATTTTTGAGAGAAAAAGAGAGACAGAATGCAAGTAGTGGAGGGGCTGAGAGAGAGGGAGACACAGAATCCGAAGCAGGCTCCGGGCTGTGAGCTGTCAGCACAGAGCCTGATGCAGGGCTCAAACTCACGAGCTGTGAGATCATGACCTGAGCCGAAGTTGGACCCTTAACCGACTGAGCCACCCAGGCACCCCAGTTTGTACCTTTTTAAAATGTTTATTTATTTATTGGGGGGGGGAGGGGCAGACAGAGAGGGAGAGGGAGAGAATCCCAAGCAGGCTCCGAGCTGTCCGCTCAGAGCCAGATGTGGGGCTCGAACGCACAAACTTCGAGATCATGACCTGAACCCAAGTCAGTGGCTTAACCAACTGAGCCGCCCAGGTGCCACCCCCCCACACACCACTTTGAGTTTGTAAAAATAAACTGTCTGCCTTTCCTCCTGTGGTGTCCTCTCTGAAGGCCCTCCTCTATCCCACACTCCTTAGCACCGATTCGGTAGGTCCTCTTAGATGTTCTTTGGACGTGTTCTGTCCTTGGTTGTCTTTGCACTCTCTGTTCCTCCTTCTTGCCGTGCCCTTCCCAGCCCTGTCATCATTTTGCCGCCCCTGCTTGCCTCTCACACTTGACTTCAGAAGCTGCCTCCTCCAGGAGGCCCTCCTGGATCTGCCAGTCTCATTTACATTGCTAGCTCCAAGGCTGCCCGCCCAGTGTCCCCACCACCTCAACATGAGTCAGGTGGTGTTGGGAGCTCCTGTTCCTGGGTCCTTGTTCCCCACCAGACCATGAGTTTCTACGAGTAAGACCCCTTGGGGTACCCCTTGGGGTACGGTTCGTGAGTTCAAGCCTCGCGTCAGGCTCGGTGCTGACAGCTCAGAGCCTGGAGCCCGCTTCAGATTCTGTGTCTCCCTCTCTCTCGCTGCCCCTCCCCCTGCCTCGTGCTCTGTCTCTCTCTGTCTCTCAAAACTAAATAAATGTAAAAAAAAAAAAATGTAAGACTAAGTCCCCTTGGAGATGACTCGTTAAGTCAGTAAACAGGTATCAAGTGGAAATCCGAAGAAAGGACAGAGTTTGCTGGGTCAGTGTGGGTCCTGATGGAAGGACGCGGCATTTAGGGCAGGAATGACCACGTGCACGGGTGTCCTGAAGGCCCAAGACCCTCCGTCTGTGCTTCCTGGGGCCTGAATCTGGCCAGACAGAGTCCATCCGGGCAGAGATAAAGCTATGTCAGAGATAAAGTGCAGAGAAAGAAGGGGCCTGAGCAGCCTCTGGGCTTATGCTCAGTGCCTCTCCCTGGGTCCCTCTCCCAAAGGGAGGCGCCCAGAGTCTCGATCTCAGTCCATGTCTGTGTGTCTGTGTCTGCCCCTCTCTGCTGGTGTCCACCTGTATCAATTTCTTTGTAATTCTGACCCTCAGTCTCTTTTTCTCCGCCACCACAGCCCTTGGAGAATGGCTCATCTCTTTCAGTCCTGGAGGACCAGTCCCTGCACCTGGTCTGTGTCAACAGCAACCCCCCCAGTCAGGCTGACCTGGGCCCTGGGGAGCTGACCCTGTGCTCCTCAAAGCCCTGGAACCCTGGGGTGCTGGAGCTGCCTCAGGCACAGGAGAGAGATGAAGAGGAATACACCTGCTGAGCTCGGAGTGCGGTGGGCCCCCAGCACGCCTCCCTGAGCCTCTCTCTGCAGGGTGAGTGTCCAGGGGCTGCACAGTGGACCCTAATCCCTCAATGCCATTTGGCTCACTGGTCCCCGAGCAGGCAGCCCCAGAGCCCGCTGTCCAGCTGCCGCAAGGCCAGGGCACGGGGTAGCGTGCGGCTCAGGCACATGGGGTGCCACAGCGGTGACGCAGGGGGGCCTGGGGGACCGATGTCCAGAGACCAGCCGGGAGCAGAGGACACGGTGTAGCAGTCAAGCTCATGAATCCACAAATCCATCGTCCTTCGCCTCATCGTCCTCGTGTGAGCACTGCCCCAGGGGGAGGGGAGGCCTGAGGAGGGTGGGGGTTGTGGCCGAGTCCCAGAACCAGCGCAGGAGGGACTGAACAGGTCAGAGGGCAGGGCAGGGGGGAGGCTGACCAGGTGTGAGGATTCCACAGCGTCCAGGACAGGACGGGCTGCGCCTGCTGTGCTCATAGCCGTCTACGGGGCCAGACCTGCACTCTCCCACCTCGTCTGCCCTCCAGCCCCTTAACTGGGAACCGGAGTGAATCAGCTGGCCCTGCATTCCCAGGACCCGACCGAAAGGCCCCGGTGTCTTCTCTCAGACTGAGATTCGTCAGGAAGGAGAAGCCAGGCCTGCAGGGGGC